TCATATCTTTCTGCTTCTGTCAGTAAGGAACAGCAACTCGTTTCAACTAACATGCTTGCAACAATAAATTTCCACATTTTCTGTAGTGAGATTTTAAAAATATGCAATAGTAGTGTATATTATGTAAAAAAGACCACATATGCAAATAGTTCTTTCTGAACTTTTAGGATTTAACTGTTTGGAATTGTTTACCATGACCACCTGAGCAAGAAATAAGATATTTAGCAAGGATAAAGAAGGAAAACCTCCTTTTATCACATCCTACACTCAGAGCTTAATCTCAGTTTTACAGCTCCATCTTAGCCCTAAGCAACCAGCACAAAATATGTTTCTTTCAGTATTAATGCTACTTGCTGCTCATCCTTATTTTGCTTCTGAAGTATTCCCTGCCTGCCTAATGGAAAAGTCCATCTACATTTGAACTTCTGTTCCCAGAAAACACATGCCATTATGTGTTAGTTATAGGGTTTACAAGGTAAACATTCCAGTGGAACAGCACTGAAGCTGGAAAGAATAAACTGGAAGAGCCACTTGGCTCAGGTATCCCAGGAAATGCATATGCAATAGAAGAATCAATTTGTTAGTCACTGGGAAAGCATTAGCAGTTTTCATTTAACAACAAATATAGAAGTGTAGGTGCTGGAATTCAGAATAAAGAACAATGCATTAACTGGGGTGGGGTGGGGGGAAGTTACTTTTCTCCTTATTGGAGTACTATAATCATAGTTGAATTCAATATGTACAATTGCTCCTTGATGGTTCTTGTTGAGTAATTTTGTTCAATAAGGGTCTGTCAATACAATTTGCTTTCAAATGTCAGTTTATATAATATCAAGAATAATGGGCTTACTCAGGTGCACTTGGATATTGTAATAAAACATTAATTTTGGGCAAAAGAAAACTGTTAATCATCTAGTTTAGTACTCTAAAATTATGCATGAATTTTTTGAGGAGCTCTGTGGAGTAAATGTGAACATTGCAATGTGTGTTAGACAAAGAGCCATAAATAACTAAGCAGTAAAACACTGAAGAGGGGATATCCTCTGCAGAATGTGCTTTTTTGTTGAAGAGGAGTCCAGGAAAGCAGTGAGCAAACCATCCTATATCACTTCCAGTTTCTGGAAAGTAAGTAAGTGCATTCTCAATTTCTTGCATGCAATATATTTTTTGAGGTTCACAAAGGTGGGTTGTTTCATCAAGCCAAATTTCTTTGCTTCTATTTCTCCTACAATGTCAAGGAGCTGGATAGTTAACACTCACAAATGAAGTGGCAGGAAATAACTAATGGTTCATTAAAAAAGTCACATCAGGATACTTCCACAGAAGCTCCAGAGGGGATCTGCGAGGGGAACAGGGGGCAATGATCCAGCTGCTGACCACAGCATGATGATATTCACAGAGAGGAGTTTATGGCAAGAATAATTTGGATGGTTCTCTCCTGCTAATGCAGTTTGAAAGCTGAACAGTCTGAAGAGGTTTGGCCAACAGAACCTTTCCAGGGTAGCTCATAGCCTGGCACCCATCTCTTGTTCTTGCTGACACAAAACTCAGTGAAGGAGTTTAGCTTGAAAGGAACAGTAGGAGAGGTATTTGTTTTCCCTTTTTTCCTTCCCAGCTCAGCAAGCTGAGCAATCTCTGGCTCTTCAAAGACAGCAGAGCACCGTGAAGCCTCCTGCCTGTAACTTCTGTGGGCATTTACACAACAAACCCTTCACACAACACTTCAAACAGGAGCTGCAAGAGGAGCGAGCTGAGAGCTTCCCCAAAGTGGAGCAAAGAACAGGGTGTGTAGTTTGGAAGAGAATGTGAAGAGAGCTCTGCCAGTTTATAATTTGGGTTTTCACAACGTGTGTGTGATGAAGGAAGCTTCCACAGCTCGTGCCAGCCTCAGTGTGATGAGGAGTGTAAATGCTAAGTGGTTTAAGAATTCTATTTAATATATGCAAGGCTATCACTTGACAAAAAAATACTTATTGCTCATGTGAATCCATCTGTCATTGCAGACCTACATCAGCTAAGTCATGTCAATTTGTACTGCTAACAGGTGGAATAACAAGGAATGAAGTAATTTGTGACATAAATGATAGCTAAATAAAAAGGAAGCCCTTGTCTGCAAATGGGCTTGTTTTTGCAAGAATCTAGGATAAATTTTGCAGGCCTGCTTTAAGTTTTGCTTCTGGTGAAACTGTTGTACAGCAGTGACAGACTTTTGATGTAACTATCAAATATAAGCACTATTGCATTAGAAGTTATGTCTAGGCTTGAAAAACACCTACATTCAAGACAATCTATTTATGCAGAAAGATGTAATGCCTCGTTCCCGCAGCATAAATTAATCTTTAAATTGGCTAAATGAGGATACCTTTTGCATAAGAGAATCTCTGCACAGTGTAAAAACTGAATTACACAAACTGAACATCAGCTGTCATTGCAATGATAAAACAAATACACTTCTCACAACTACTGAGATTAAAGTAGAAAGGGAAAAAAGGAAACCAACAGCTGCATGGCCCTGCCAAGCTGCTTTCCACTTATGTATAGCAGGCTTTCTAGTTTAGTGCTGTGTTTCATTAAAACATCTGTGGCATATTTTGTAGAAAAAAGATCTAAAAGCATTTTGTCTTTAGTTAGAAATAAATTTTCTGAGTATTTGGAAGGGAATCTACCACTTAGCTTGAGTTAAAGGTTTTGGTAAATAAAAAGCATCTCATTATCTTTGTTCCCAATGACCCTAATAGCAGAATAATGCTGGCATTTTAAGTCTCCTGTGTAGTTAAATTAACTGAAATCTTACTCATAACCAATATGTCAAACAATTAGGTTATAATTCTGCAGTTATTGCATGTTAAGTACCTCTGCAAGGCTTATGAGTGCTACTGTCCAACACAAGCCCAAACATCTCCACTGAATCGTGCACAGCAAGAGAGTCAGTTCTGAGTCTCTTACATCCAGATCAGAGCTGCCTTGTCAAGATTTATTTTCATGTTTTTTTTTGGGTTTTTTTTTCCCCCAAAAATGTTTGGGATATTTTTTCTCACATGTAAAGCAAAGCTGCTTTTAGCAATTTAGAAAAGGAAAGGGCATCCCCTGGTCATCTCTGATGAAATAAGAGGCAATTCAGAATTTGTACTGTGCTTAATATAAATGTATATATGATTAAGTAAAAAAAGAAGAGTTAAATAGCAGCACTACAGGCAAGATTGTTGAGATGCAACTGTTAGCAGCAGTTGCTGACCTGCACTGCAGAGTTGATTCCACCTGACCCTCCACATGCAATCTTTCTCAAAGGAACACATCTCATCCCATGGATTTATCACAGTTCTTCACTGCCTCACAACTTCCCTTTCTCTGGGGTTGCTGCTTTGCTCACTTTTATTTTTTTTATTTTTTTTTTTTTTTGTTGCTTTTGACATGATCAAACAACAACATTTATCTCAATTAACTTGCAAGGATATCTGTTACACACCATGCAGTTGCATTTCCATCTTTTCCCATTTTTCAATGCTTCGTCAGATTGAATCAGAATTCTTAGTAAAAGACATTTAATAGCAAGGAATTATTGAGCTTCATTAAACAAACTACATTTAAGAGTTTTAAGCCCATGAGACCAAAAGCTTTACAAGTACTCCAAAAAACAACAGTCCTGAGGATCTTACAAAATTAACTTTCAGGTAGGGAGGTAATTGAGAAGCCAGTTCATGAATTTGAGGCCATTTTTAATTTAACAGAATCAGTGGGATGCTCTACATAACACTGGGTTCAAAACAGAGAATTTTATGGGGCCTACAGTATTTCCTGCTCAATAGTTTAGTTACATCATTGTGATGCTGACTGCCACAATTCCTAAGGGCTATTAAACACTCTGAGATATCCCATGGAGAAAAAAATATGGAAAGTATTTCACAAACTGTCGATAAAAGAAACCCAAACAGTCATAAGGAAAAACATCAAAGCTGCTGAGACGCTTCTATTCAAAGAAAGCAAAGAAAGAAATAATAGCACTTGAAATAAAAAGAAAAGTAAGAATCATCTTGTAATTAGAATTACTGCAGTAGATAAAAGGGGGCACAGAGAAGTACAATAGTTTCTTTTGTATAGCAAGTCAATAACATTATGTAATTTTCCAATTTTGTCCTTTTTTTACCAGAAGAGATTTTTTTTCTTTCAAGAAAAAACTTTTAAGTAACACTACAGATAACACAGGATGTCTGGAAAAGATACCAGCCTGACATTAGCCCATGCACAGGTCCATTTTTACACAAAAATATGCGGTTTGGAAAGGAACTTTGATTCAGTTTTAACTATAGTTATATGTATTTACTCTTCATTTATTACTTTTGATGAAAGATGGTGTTTAATGGCTCCAGAAGAGAATGGATAACACAAGTAGCCTGTCTTGGAAAGGATGCTTCTAGCCTGTCTCCACTTATTTAAAGAGAATTACAGGAGTTCAAATAATGGTAAAAGTTATTTAACAAAACAAAAGGTGGTTTTCATGAGATACAACTTGCAGCTACCAAAGCACACAAAGGTTTCACACACCACATTAGTACACAATTAAGTTTTCCCTTTCCAAATTTGTTTTGCTTCCATGCTTTAGCAAGGGAATATAAATTTTTAGGGAAAAGTCACAGAGTCACACAAATTCTGAGATTTTACAGTGGTGTGTTTCAAGTTCTCCGTCTTTGGTGCACATGGACATGCTTCATGAAATGGATGATTAGAGGATACCAGGCCTTCTCTTCCAATATTTAGGTTGGCCACTTAACTGCAGAACAGTTTCCCTCTCAATTTCTCCTACATTAATTCAGGAAAATGGCTTGTTCCCAATAAATTATTGTCTTTTCCATTTCCTTTTGGTTTGGCTTTTTATTGGAAGGGACATCTGATCTCCCTGTCTGACAAACACCAAACTTGATTTGCCTGAGATGTGTGGAGAGATGGGGCAGAGAGTGAAGGAAAAAAAAACCTGATGTGTGGGAACAGGCTGGAATACCTACCAGAGGAAATGCTGGGGGGTAAAGATCCACCCCCTGCCACTGGATGAGAGGCCAGGATGCTATTTAAAAATCCCGCCCTCAGGAATCTCGAAAGAGACTTCACCCCAATGGTCGGAAAGGATCCTTTCAAAGAAATAGAAATGATCATTAATCAAATGTTCTTGTTGTTCTCTGGCTGACAAAAGAAGTTGACTGTTTAAGGAAAGAACAACCAAACCTCTGCAGAGTTAACAGTGGTTTCATGGGAACAGATCTCATGAAAAGCAGTTAAAAGCTTTTGTTTGCTTTTTAACCAAGTCATACAATACACAGCTTTAACCAGAAAAAGGTTTTCTGCATAGTTTGCAAATGGAGAATTCCAGCACTTCTAGGAGCCATAGAAAAATTTGGTGTTTCAACAGCAAATTGCACCTGTGGGATACTCATAATACATTCCAAATGACTCCACCATAGAGGCACATTACAATTTTATGTTCAAATCAAAGACAGACCAGTAGAGGTGAGGCTATACCAGCAAAGCTGTTTTACATCAGTATTTTAATGCCATCTGACAAAAGCCACATCAGGGAAGGGGCAAAGGGAAACCAGAATTTGCAGCTAAAATACTGAATTCTGTGTCAAGGCAGCTCCAGCTGTCAGAGCTTCTGTCACATCTCCCAACACCTGCCAATGGAACAGGATACAGGCAAAAACTAGGAGTATGGATGATGCCTGAAGATTTTTAGCTTTTTTTAATATATTTTCATATAATTGCAACTTTTTGATTTTAGGCAATGTGGACATGGCCCCTTTCTGCTTTGCTGTCACAAGAAGCTCTAAACAATTTATGCTTTCACTATAATAAACTCTATATTCTTCTCATTGCCTACATGTATGGTTTTAATCCTGGAAACAATTATTATCTCATCCACCTCCTCTAAAACAAATAATTGTGACCCATCTACTGCAGTGGTGAGAAATGAAGGTGCCTTAGCATTTGATCCACTGTTTCAGCTATCAGCATTTGTACAGAGATCTGCAGACATCATTTCAGCTTCCTCCTGTTAGTGCTTAGTGAGCACCAGCATCAAAGATGGGTCTGAAATGACAGCTCTGCACATCTCACTTAAAAGCTCTGCACATCTCACTGAGAAGCACAGGGTCAAGATTCTCCCACCTGGCAATAAATCTAAACTATCAGAATAATCTGGGCATTTTTGCAAGTTCATCAAGTAAGCATCCATCCAAAAAGTTAGGCAATGGCAAGTTTGTTTTTCTCATCTTGCAGGTACTTCATATTTGTTCTTTTAAGAGACAGAAAGCATATTGATCTTTACAGACAATAAGAAAAATAAATGGCCTTCAACAGTTGAGATTTTTTTTCCCACTAATAAAAATACAGTGAGGAAAATTTACCCTCAAAACACGCATGCACTTGCTGAATTTAAAGAAGCCTAGGAGAGCTTTGAGTTTTTTACTTTTGTTTTCAAGCAAGAATTCTAATGTTCCCCCTCAATCCATCTGTCCTTTAAATTTGTTAGTTAGCCATGCTGCAGTCTCTGGAAAAATAATTAATTTAATTGGTGATCTAGATGCAGTACTTTTACATCTGATGGCTAAATGTAAGTATTCCGTCTGGACACTCAAGAGAAGTCTTTGGCATTCCTATAAAAGTGTTTCCATGTTCCATGGCTTTCAGTTTAAAATATTTGCAGAAGTGATCCTGGACAGACAGTACAGAATGCAAAACACAAAAATTCAATTTTAAAATGGAAATTGTCCTATTAACTCCAAGATGTTTGGTACTAAACAGCATCTTAAAACATAAAGGCTAAATAATGAACATATGAAGATTTCCCAAATAGAACACTGCTCCTGTTTCAAAATATGAATTATACCAACCATAAGGTACAGCCACTGAGTCACACACCATATCTACAGACCTTCAAATAAGCCAAACAGCTTCAGCTTCACCATTGACATTTTCCTCTACTTAAATGCTGTTAAATGGCAAATAACTCCAGTTTCCTAACAGTTTTACAATAAGTCACTTTGTTATAGAAAGTAATGAGGACAACCCCAAATTTATTTCACTTATTGGACATATTCAGAAATAAAATTAAAAAACAAAAAAACAAAAAACAAACAAAAAAACCCCAAAACAACAAGGACCAGTGAATTTCAGAACACAAAGGTCTATAAATACTAAGAGAACTAGAGGGGAGAAATTATTGAGGTTTTAAAAGCAGCAAATAACTACAAGAACGCATATAAATAACACTTTTCTCTCACATTCTAAAGTCAGGGTTCAGTTGCTTAAGTGTAAATGGTTTGTGTCATTTGAGATGCTCTAAAAAATCTGAGCCATCCCCAGCTGAGTGGCAGACATGACACGATCAGCAGATTTCCACTCTGGAAGTGGCTGTAAGAGGTAAAGCAGCAGTTGGATATTTAAGAGTAGGCACTGAGTGTCATTTTAGGCAACTGAATCCCATCCAGCCCCCTGTCACCTCAGAAATGTCTCTGAGTAAGCAGAAGTCAGAGTTACTAGAACAAGACCTCATTTAGTCTCTTCTAGAAGTCCTCAGACACCTTCTGAAAGGATCAAGGTTGGTGACATTCAGCCCTGACCAGTATCCATCAACAAAAAAAATGCAGACAAATGAGAGATTAAAAGTTCATTCACCTTAAAACATGCACAGCTCTAAATTAAAATACAGCCCCAGGATGAGCTTTTTTTCAGCCCCAGGTGTGCTTTTTTCATCATGTGCACAATGTGAAAAGGGTTTGAGACTTGATTATGTGATTTTATGTTGGGAAGGTGATAATCACTGCAGATAAAGCAAATTAATTCTTGTTAAGCCACATCAATCACCACCAGATGGACAGAGCTTTGATAAAAGCTTTGGGGACTTACAGTAGTTTAGAAGTTACTCAAAGATTTACTTGTTTGCATAAGCATTCATGAAATAGTTGAATGAATGACACAGAATCATAGAACGTGTAAGTTTGGAGGGGACCCCTGGAGTCAGCTAGTTAACCAGATTTCTTGAGAAATGATGCTATTCTGTTGGTCCACATCATAGAAATATTCATGCTTCCCACGACTTCTTTTGTTTTCTGCAAAAAATTCACTCTCATTTTTGCAGTAGGTGCACTCACACTAATGGAAAGATCCCTCAGTACAAGATTCTAAACTGGGAAAAGGAAACAAGAATATTAAGCCATGATTCCTCAGTACCCTCAAATGCTGCTGTTATTTAGCAGTTTACAGTCATGGATTTACTGAGGAGAAAACCCCAACCTCTCCCTGCTCCACAGTTACACACATTGAACATAGTGTCACCTTAACATGGGAAACCACATAAGTTACAATGTTAGTTGGAAAAGTGTGTTGAACTGTAGAAATACCTGGAGTAGCTGACAGTTCACCAAGTGTCTGCCACTTTCTGAGCCCTGTGATACCTGTTTATAACTCAGTGTAAATTCTTCTGTTTCACAATAATTACAGCTAAGTGCCTGAGCTCAGAGGCAGTGGCGGAGTGCTGAATCAATTAGCCTGCTTTCCACTCTCAGCTGTTGTTCCTGGGGGAATATCATCCCTCACATTGTGGAATTTGATAGGGAAGACCCTGGTACAGCATCCTAAACTGGCATGGGTTTAAGTAGGATATTATCCCCCTGAGCAGAAGGGCAGGAGAAGGTGGCTGGGCAGAGGAAATCCACATGCTTAGTTGAGCTCCAGAGCACTGACATTAATTCACACCCATTTATTGGCACTGCACAGTCACAGCATGGCCAGCCAGGAGGAACAGCCACTGCTCCCAGCCCAAATCCCATGACCAGTGACAAAAATGTGCTTTGTTCTTTGTCACTGACGGTTTTCCTTATTTATTACTATTATTTATTATTATTAAGTATCTATTCAATACATTCTGCAGGTGGAATTGACCATTTCATATGCTGTGTACTTCTGAGCATCTAACAGCTACAAATTCAAAAGCAGCTCTTTGGCTGCTTAATTTAACAAACTGGACTGAGAAGTTCTAGAGAGGTCACAATTGCCTTCTTCTGTTTGTTTATACAAGTACCATCTCTTTATTGGCACCAGCAAAAGAAGATTTTAGTCTGTTGTTCCTTTCCCACAAATTTGGTTTGGAAAAAAAAAAAAAAGGAAAAATGCAGAGGTGGTGTATTTAATGTAAAAAATTCCATTGCTATTTGTTTCTCTAAGTCAGTTCTCTCAATGCTTTCCAGGCAGGGATTTTAAAACCCAGCTAAGAGAAAGTTCTCTGGAACTCTGCACATGAAGGCTTTGGGGAAGTGAGAGCTGCAAGGAGCTTTTGCATTCAGTTTGGCAGGAAGCAATTGGCTGTTTTCACTCCAAACTGCATTTTCAGGCAGGGTGGGCTGAACATTTAGTAACAAAATACTGGAGGATAGAATGCAGAAAGTTTTCCCGCTTCTGCATAGGGGAGTTATCCAATTTTATCATTTCATGTCTGAGACAAGACTGGCTTCTGTTATGAGCACTTCCCATTCTAAAATAAAACCTTGTTTTTATTGTTACTGGTGTTTCCTTGGGGACGTTAGAAGCAGGGTTAGAGCATTTTTTTTCAAAATTATTTGAAATATATCCATTATGGAAACTACTGAAATGTGGTTGACTTTTCTTTCACATGATTTTATTGATTTATCCTTGCTAGATCACCAGGAATGGCACATTACTTCATAATCTTTTATGAGGGAACATATGGAAGGTTTTTATAAGGAATGGCTTTATAAAACTTTGAAATTATGATGTCAGATTACAATTTTTAGAGCAGTCAAAAGGCTTGACTTGCAATGGAAAAAAAAAATCAGAAGCAGGAAAAAAATTTATCCCTGATGAATTTGTTGGATCATGTTTTCAGTACATTTAGAAAACATAAACTTTTTTCAATGCAATAATCTAGAGATTTAGAATATGTTCTTAGTTTATTTTAGAGCTTTTTTTTTCATGAAAGTAAAGGCTGATAGAGTGGCATGCCTAAAAGCTTACCCAAATAATTAATATCTCTTAGAAAAAGCTAATTTTCAAGATTACTAAATACTATTTTGCAACAGACATCACAAAATAATAGAGCATAACAAGAATGGACAAA